AAAAAAAAAAAAAAAAAAAAAAAAAAAAAAAAAACAACAAAAAAAAAAGTATATTACACGAATATTAACTATGAAATACTGACTTGGATTAAATATTTTTATCAATCCCTACAAAGGAAGACAAGGGAGGCCAGGATGCATGCCAAATCTCACAGGACTAAATCTACAGAATATCTTTCTACTATGTGGAGTATGACTGTAATTTCTTCTGAAAATATAAGGGCAAATAAAGTGAGCAGCACATGATAACTGTGAGCACGTTTGCTAGTGTGATCTTCCTACTAATGAATGTAACTTTTCAGTTTTCCTCTTCATTTTTTTAAGCTTCTTCAAAATACAAACAAAAAGCCGAAACCACTATACTTCTTTTCTTGTTTAAGATTTATTAAGATGTATACAATCGGAGGCTGGAGAGATGAGATGGCTCGGATGTTAAGAGCACCGACTGCTCTACCAAAGGTCCTGAGTTCAATTCCCAGCAACCACATGGTGGCTCACAACCATCCATTATGAGATCTGGTGCCCTCTTCTGGTGTGGAAAAAAAAAGGGAAGAAAAATTTTTTAAAAAAAAAAAAAAAGAAGAGGTATACAGTCTTCTGCCTCCAGAGCAGAAGAGGGCAGCAGCTCTCATTATAGATGGGTGTGAGCTACCATGTGGTTGCTGGGAATTGAACTTGGGTCCTCTGGAAGAGCAGACAGTGCTCTTAACCTCTGAACCATTTCTCCAGCCCCACCACCACACTTCTTAAGACTGGCATCAGGACATTAAAAGTTCTGATCTACTGTGGTGGTTTGAGAGAAAATGTCTTTTACAGGCAGGCTTGTGTTTTTGAATGTGTGGTCCCCAGTTGGTGACATAGTTTGGAGGGAAGTTAGGAAAGTTTGGAACATAGAGAACACCACCACTTGGGACAGACTTTTAGAGTTTATAGTCTTGGCACACTCCAGTTCCCGCTCTCTGTTCCCTGTGTATGAATGAGATGTGATCTCTCAGCTTCCGGGTCCTGTCATGATGGACATCTAGCTTCCCGAAACCGTGTAGCTTAGTTTTTTCTTTTCTTTTTTTTTTTTTTTTTTTTTTTTTTTTTTTTTTTTTTGGGGGGGGGGCGTAGGCAAGTCTATAGAGCATTTTCTTGATTAATGATTGATGGAAGAGGGCCCAACCCTACTATGGGCAGTGTGACCCTTGGATAAATAGTCTGGGTTATACAAAAAAAAAAAGGCTGAGCAAGCTAGTATACACTATTCCTGCAAAGTTTCTGCTCCAATTCCTGCTTCCAGTTCCTGCCTTGCTTTCCCCTGATAAGGCTATATAAGCCAAACAAATCCTTCCTTTCCAAAATTGCCTTTGGTCATGTTGTTTTATCACAGCAAAAAGAAGTAGGACGGAAATCTTATACCAAAATAAATGCTTCATTAAGTTGCCTTTCATCGCGGCAATTTATCACAGCAACAAAAAAGTAACTAACACACCTACCAATCCCTATTATAGTAAACTATTCAACAGATGGCAAACACATATGAAAAAATATGTTCTTCATAATAGGAAAGTTCCAAAAACTGAAAACAACTTTAAAAACCACCAATAGAATATTTTTATATAGGACAATAAGCAGATGTTAAAAATACTTAAGTGTACCTACATGTACTAAATGTGCATGTAGAAAGATGCCTCAACAGAAATAAACCTACCCACTTGTACAAATTTAAAACCTTAAAAATGCCTAACAGAATACTATTAAAAGATAGACTACTAAAAGTAGTTCCACTAAAAGTAGACCCCTCTTTACATAGGTCTGCATTATTGCTCTAACAAATCAAACAAGGTTTTGAAGGGACTACAAAGTCACCAATTATGTTTCACCCAAGAAAGCATCACTCTACCATGTGGCAATTCTCAAAAGTCCAACCATACCTTGACTCTGGGCTGCCTGGAAAGTACAGTGAGTTTATTGGTTGTCATCTTGAATAAGAGATATTAATGCCATTTATTGGGCAGAGGATAGTACTGGTCTGACAATGTCACTACACAAGACTTATACAACCAAAAATCCCATTAACATTTCTGGTAGAGCGAGTCATCATCACAGTGCATTAGAGCTGGTACAGAGGCTGCTGCTCCAGACTCTCTGCACTTACTTTAAGTGCCCACTCCAGGAGACCTTGGCCTCTTCAAGCAAGGAAAACTGGTACATCCATTATTCAAATCAAGCTTTCAATTATCTTTTAGTTATTTTCTGTTGTTGGTAAAAGATCATTGTCATTCATATCTGCTATGTCGGGTGCTGGTTTTTACACCTACAGTATTTTTGATAAGCTAGTGACAAAGTCTACATAATCATTACCTAATACATAGGAATGTTAAATACTTCTAACTTTGAAACAAGAGAAAAAAAAGGAATTTGCCTCATTTTATAAAACTATTTTAAATAATGGAGCTGATGTTCATGGTCACCTACTCTAGCTAGTAGTCATACCCTAGTACATATTTAGATTAGGTAAGAAAATCAGAGGGGCCGGGCATGTACGATGTTTATGACCCTAGCACTTGGGAGGCCAAAGCAGGAAGATTGCTAGTTCAAGACCAGACTTGGCTACAAATCAATACCTTTTCTCAACAAACTAAAGAGACAAAAATCAGCCGGGCATAGGGACATATGTCTTTAATCCCAGCACCACAGAGGAAAGGCAAGCCAATCTTTGTGAGTTTTGAGGCCAGCCTAGACTACAGGACTATATACTGAGACTCTATCTGAAACAAACAAATAAGGAAGAAAACTAAGAAAACTCAATCAACTCAGAGAGTACACATAGGAGAAAAGGCTCGGAACGTGAACCACATTGAAATGAGAAATGAAGAAAAACATCTACCTGTCAGGTGCAGTTAGTACAAGGGTTTCCAGAGAATCAAAATCACAGGTCTGCTGCCCATGTACTGAAAAAAATGACTTACATCCTTCTGGTGGAGGTTCATCAACTGCAATCTGTCAGGGAAGACAAAACAGATAGATCTACTCACAGATCAGACAGAAATCTATGTTTTAGTGAACATGTGACTAAATGATAATCCACCATCAGTAAAAGCAAAAACTGCCATCTACTGAGCATCACTGTGGGCCAACGGGTAAGAACACTCCAAGCCAGATCTCTGACTGGTTATGATATTCAGTTTCTCCCATTTCACTCCAGGTCAGTACTAGTACTGTAATTCCATAACAGAAAGTTAAAATTCTCTCTATATCAGACAATTATCAAAAGATATCTAGGAGTCTAGGGTGTACCTTCAAAAAACCCTTAGCTCAAAATGGCAGAGGGTTTTGTGAGTGCATATATGTACATGTAAGCATGCATGTTGATGTCAGAAGTTAACATGGAATGTCTTTTCAAGTTTATTCTTAGAGACAGGTGCTTTCATTGAACCTGAAGCTCACCAATCCAGCTAGGATGAATAGACTATGAACTTCAGGGATCTCCCTGTTTGTCCTCCACCTCCTAGCCCTAGGGTTACAAGTGTATGCTACCATATCAAGATATAAAGGCATTTTACCAACTGAGTCATCTGTTCAGCCCCTTCAAATGACAATTGACCACCTAAGCTCAAGGGTCCACATGGTAGAAGAAGATGATTGCTGCAAGCTGCCCTCTGACTCCACAGCATACCATGGCACACGCATATACATACGCACACTAAATAAATAAATAAAGGTGTAAAAGTGCTGTGCTTGACACCAAGTGCTGAGAAATGCCAGAAAGACAGAAAGGGGCTAATGGAAAAGAGGTTAGAAGGAGAAAGGGGCAATCAAAACTAAAGAAATATATAATAAGCCATATGGGAACCTATGAACATACAAGCTTATTTAAAAACTATGTTTTTGTTTTTGTTTTGTTTTTTTAAAGAGTCAGAATGGAGGAGCCCTTGATAGATAGATAGAGCTTCTACCAGAAGTCTTGGGCTACCTCCCTATGAGGTACTGACCAGAGAAGCACAAGAGCCCTTCCCTCCAAACAATACAGGCTATTGCCATTGCTCTTGGCCCCACCAGATCTTGATAGTAACATTCTATTGCTGGAGCTGAAGAGATGGCTCAGTGGTGAAGAATCCATACTACTCTTGCAGAGGCCCCAAATTTAATTCCTAATCAAATAACTCACAACCACCTGTAACTCCAGCGCCAAGGGAATCTGAAAACTCTGGCCACCTCGGAAACTTATATTCGTGTTACCCACATAATTTAAAATTATTTTAAAAATCTTATTTCTACAGATACCACATAGTTTGATCACAAAGACATACATAATCAAACTGGAGCTAAGATAGAAGATATTTCCCTATAGGCTAGCCTTCATACTGCTAGAATATACTATGCAAGCTGCTAAAAAGAAAAGTTATCAACAGTCTTACTCAGATGTGAATTTTGGGGGCTATAATAACGACCTGCAAGGCAAGATGTGCCTACTGGTGGCATGGATGTCATGAGTAACCAACCACACCATAGGCTTCAGATAAACCACACAGAGGCCACACCATAAACCTGGTCAAGAGCATATGGTCAAGAGCCTACTACTACTTTGTGTCATCAGACGGCTTTCTAAATACTTACTCATGTTTCTATCCACAGATCAGTAGTGTCTCCAAGCCTTCACTGGAGATGCTTTTAACAGCAGTGAAATATCAGTTTCCACAGAAAACTGTAACTGGCCAAAGTGCCAAGCTAAGTAATGTTAGAGGACGAAGCCCTAAATAGGACAGCTATTACCGCCTCCTCCAAAGATCAAAGAACACTACAGAAAGAACGTAAGAGCCAAAGGATGGGGAGATGTGCAGGAAAAAGACATCTTCTGAACATACTGCAGTTTCACTCAAACTCACTACAGCTGTGGTTATCTGCACGGTCTACACAAGATTAGGTCCTTCAAAGTGCATCATTAACAAAAAAGAGCCTCACCCGCCAACTCCTAGGACTATTGGCAGTTAAAGGTTGCTGGCAGAGGGGGTGACATTTTCTTTAATGATATAGCTACTGTGAAGTTGCCCTGCTCCAGTAAATAAACTATGCTCTTTGAAGAAACACTAATTAAGCTCAGTGGGCCACACACAAAAAGAAGATATAGAATTAGCAGGGCAATTTGTTGAGGAGTGTTCCACATGGAGGAGGAGGATAAAAAAAAGACTAAATTGATTATTAAATGTATGAAACTTGGACTGGAGAGAAGTCTCAGAGGTTAAGAGCACTTCCTCTTGCAGAGGACCCAGTTCAATTCTAAGCACCCACATGGCAGTTCACAACCATTCATAAATTCAGTTCCAGGGGACCTGACACCCTCCTATGACCTCTATGGGAACATAGCGCATACATGGTATAGACATGTATGCGAGTAATACATTCATACACATAAAATAAATATCAAAAATAAAGTAGAATTATGTTGTCCTAATCAAAGATAATATACAAATTAATAGGAAGCCCTTCATTGAAGTAAGAATTATATAAAATCTAAAGAAGTAAGGGGGGGAGTGGTGGGGGAAACGGGAAGGCAGGAGGGAGAACTGGGATTGGTATCTAAAATAAGATTGTTTTTAGTTTAAATAATTTTTATTTTAAAAAAAAGAAAGAAACAAGCCAGGCACAATGGCTCACATTTGTAATCTCAGTTATCAGAAGGCAGAGGCAAGAATATTATAGGACCAAGGACAGTGTAGAAACAAAGTAGTAAGGTTCCTGAAAACAGTCAATAGGTCTTCACTGGGAAGTGTGACAGGCCAATGGCTTGTGTCCAAGCTAACATCAGAAAGTACCAGGCACCCACAGAAAGTTCAGAGGTGTTGAGGTGGTATACTTGCTCAGTATCTTACATAAATCACAAGCCAAGACTTCCTCCTAGGACAAGGCCCCACGCTAAGGAGAAACTTCTTAAAGCAGAAAAACTTCAGTAGGACAGAGACAATGGAAGGAAAAGTCCAAATAAAAGTGCAGGAGGATGGAGCTAGAGAGATGGCCCTGGGAGTACATACTGCTCTTGTAGAGGATATGAGGGTGGTTCCCAGCACCAGGTGTCACGTGGCCCACACAGACACACACACACAAATATATAATTTAGAAATAAACCTTTTTTTTTTTTTTAGATACAAGAGAACAACAGGAAAATCTCAGTAACATACTAATATATTTCCTTAGCACTACAGAAACCCAACAGAAGAGGGAGCTATGTCAACCAAGGAAAACTAATCAATCACACATCAAAATGAATACAAATCTCTATAGAGCTGAGTAATAGCTCAGTGGGTAAAGTATGAGGGCCAGAGTTCAGATTCCCAGAACCCACCTAAAAAGCCATGAGGACAAAGCGGCCCACCTGTAAGTCCTGTGTGGGAGAGCCCCAGAACAAGCTAGGTAATCGGACCAGCAGAAATGGCCAGCACCAAGTTTAGTAAGAAACTTGACTGATACAGAAGATGAGTATGATTAAGGAAGATTCTTGACATCTATCTCAGACACACACCCACTCACATATACAGGAGCAAAAGTCTGCAAAGAACATACTATACTAAGAATTATTCAAAGAAATAAAAAGGACCAGAAGTAGCATCTGTATATGCCAGCACCACGTCCAAGAGACATTACTTTAGGCACAGAAATCATCGGCATCAGCCCAAATTCATTAGCCAGACCTATGATCCCAGGTCCTTGAGTGATTGTGGCAAGAAGATAACAAGTTCAAGCCTAGCCTGAGCAACTCAATGAAACCCTGTCTCAAAATGAAAATATGGGATTATGGGTCACAGGAAGAAGTGGGTTTAGGGTTTTTTTTTTTGTTTTTTAACATTCAAAAAAATGAAAATGAAGAAAGGGGGGGATACAGAACAGTGCTAGAGTACTTGCCTAGGATGAGCTACAACTTAGGTTCAGTTTCCATACAAAAGAAAAAAAAAACAGAAAGAAAGAAAATGGATTATATTTAATATACTAAAGGGAAAAAAGCAAATCTATTACATTTGACAATGATTCCTTTTGTATGACCACTGAAAGAAAGTACAGACAACCACAGCAACAAAGACTAGAAATCAGACATGTGGTGGACATGTTATACCATCACTTGGGTGGCTGAGACAGGACATCCAGAGTTCTAGGATGTTTTAGCTACATAACTGAAACTATGTTTTAAAAAAAGGAAGAAAAAGAAAAGGGAAAGAAATAGAAAAACTGCTCATTCTTTCTGTGCCGATATCGCTCCCGCCAACATGGTGAACGTTCCTAAGACCCGCCGGACGTTCTGCAAGAAATGTGACAAGCACCAGCCCCATAAAGTGACACAGTACAATAAGGGTAAGGATTCTTTGTATGCCCAGGGAAAGCGGCATTATGACAGGAAACAGAGTGGCTATGGTGGGCAGACTAAGCCTATTTTCCGAAAAAAAACTAAAACAACAAAGAAGATTGTGCTGAGGCTTGAGTGTGTTGAGCCCAACTGCAGATCTAAGAGGATGCTGGCTATTAAGAGATGCAAGCATTTTGAACTGGGAGGCGATAAGAAGAGAAAGGGCCAGGAAATCCAGTTTTTAGCTGTTTTTGGTGTGGAGAAAAAAAAATCACAAAAAAAAAAACTCATCTCAAAAAAAAAAAAAACAAAGAAAGAAAGAAAAAAGAAATAGAAAAATCAAAATGTGATGACACAACTCACCCATCAGGTCCAATATAAAAAAAAACACTGTTGAGGAAGACAGAGAAATTAGAACCCTTGTAAATTATTAGTGGGAAGTAAAAATGGGGCAGTCACTATACAAAACAGCTTAGTGCTTCATTAAAATATTAAATACTGGGACCTATAGATGTAGTTCAACCATAGAGTACCTGCTTAGTATGTGTGAAGTCCTGGGTTCAATCCCCAACACTACCAATAAGAAGTTAAACATAGAATTACCATGTGGCCACTTATATACAAAAGTAATAGAACTGAAAGCAGACGTTCAACCAGATGTCAGTGC